TGAGTCTGATTTGTGTAGCAAGACCCTGTAGACTCTATACTACATACATTAAAAAAAAAAAAAAAAAAAAAAAAAAAAAAAAAAAAAAGATGCTGTATAAACTGCCTGGCAGTGCCAGGCAAAAGGGATGGAAGCATGAGTTGTCCATTCTCCAACATGCCAGCTTATTACTAATAATACTTCTCTTCTTCCATCACTGGGTCTCTCTAGTTATTGGTTCTTTCAAGAGGCAGCAGAACTGGACTTCTCATGGCTATATTAACCATTACTTCTTTAGGGATCCTTTCCCTGACTCCCAGACTCAGTCAGGTTACATGTCAAGTACAGTATTCTTTCTTAAACATACAGCTTGATGGAAATAGAAATACCATTTCTATTTATTGGATTTTTGTACTTGCATCTCTCTCCCACCTGACTGTAACTCCATGAGGGCAGAAATCCTATTTTGTGCTTTTTCATGACTGCATCTTCGGCTTCATAACACACACCTCACAGTACTGTAGGTGGTAGCCAAATACACAGTGAACTGACTACACACAGGTTTGAAATTATAAAAAACTTGTAACTCTAAATAGTTGAAATATATAGCTCTCAAACTGCCAAATGAAAGAGTCAAAGTTTGCTGGCTGGTTAGGAAATGGATGGTTTCTTGGAAGAGACAGAGCAGAGGCTGCAAGGTAGAGGGAGCAGAAGGAGTAAGACTGACATCCATCTGTCTGTCCAATGCATAGCTTTACTGTGGTTCTACCCTGCATCCTGTGGGTTGTCAATGAAAGCCAACCAGAGGAAATATAATCCTTCTAGCCCTCTTTTTCCTTTAAAGTGTACTTTAAAAAAATACCTCATAAATCTATTTTAAATTAGCAAGATATGCCTGAATTCTGTCTACCTAAGAAACTAGTGATATTCTAATGTAAACAGAGGCACAGTGGGCTTTATGGGTCAGAGCTAATATTGGCTGTCCTCGTCCTTAATCTTTCCCTTCTAGAAAGAGCATTCAGGAAATGTATCAGGAAAAGATAAAAAAAATCCTCCAACTTACGGGGATACAAAATCCTTCTGCATGAGGAAAGCTGAAATTCCACACAGGTACCACAAGATATTATGCAAGCTCCAATCGAGTAAAATGTCCATTACCACAAACATGGACTGCTTCCAGAAAGTATCATAGCGAGGTTTTCCATCTCCTGTATGGCTCAGGCTCCAAGGTCTATGAGTTAGTGCTGTTATGATACCCTGATCTGTTTGTCTCATCTGAAAAGAAATTTTGGAAAATAAAACAATTACCATACCCGAAATATAAAACTTTTCATTAGGTTAGACTTAGCCAGTGTGCTCATTCTGACAAAGTGGTCACAGTACCCCAGCCTGTGTCTACTGGCAAGTCCTTTATCATAAACTCTATGAGAAAAGACATAATGGATATAAAGTGCTTAATATGCAGTACACATGAGAACTTTTTGTAACTCTAAAATAATTGCAATCCTTTAAAATAAGAGAATGACCTTGGAGTTGGTCAAATTATAATGTCACATGAATAAAATTTTTTTTAATGTATTTACTACAGGGTCTACAGGGTCTCACTACACAGATCGAACTCATAGTGATTTTCCTATTTTCAGCCTTCCAAGCGCTGGGATTACAGGTGTGCACCACCATACCCAGTCTCAACTGCTATGTCTCAGCAGGCCCCTGGGGCTGGGCTGGCACGGTATGCGGTGCTGGGAATCAAACCCTGGTCCCTGCTCTTTGCCTAAGCAGACATTCAGTCCACTGAGCTATCTGGCTGGGCCAAGAATAAACTTCTAATTGGACACCAATTTAAATTCTGGCCAGAGGTACTTAGAACTGAATGAGAATGGAATCCATTGTTCCAAACGCACAGGACAGCTTTGATCCTTTTCCAGGGCAAAGGTTGAAAAGAGTGGAGACTGGAGAGAGAGTGTAGGAAAATGAGAAGGAAATCAGAAAAATTAACTATAAGTAGAGATGGGAAGAGGGCAAAGTAGGATTGAAGAGCTATGGGTGGAGCTCCTTCAGTCCGTATTCTCCCACTCTGGAAAATGTCATTTTTGAGGCCTTATAGTCAATTAAGTTTTGTTGTCTGGAAGCCCTGTGGCCCTATGCATCCCAAGGATAGCTTGTACTCAGATAAGCTCTTTTCTTATGATAACATTTTATGTATGTATGTATGTATTTGGTACAGGGTCTCACTGAGCAGCTCAGACTCATAGTGATCCTCCTGTTTTCAGTCTCCCCAGCGTGCCACCACACCCAGTCTCTATAGTCAGCTCGTGCACCCAGGGATGGGGCCAGCATGGCCTCTGGTGCCTGGAACCCCAGTCCCTGCCATTGCAGAAGCGGGCACCTAGTCCACTGAATTATCTTGCCAGCCTTCTTTTATTTATTTATTTTATTTTTTTTTTTGAGAGAAGGTCTTACTATGTAGTTCAGCCTGGACCTATGCTCACACATTAGCTCCCAGGCTAGTCTTGAACTTGCAGCGATCTTCCGGTCTCAACCTCCCTACTGGTGAGATTACAGGCGTGCACCACCACACCTCGTTCTGGGACCAGTAAAACAAGCCCAGGGTTCCAGGGCTACCCAGGCATGTGGGGCCAGAGGTCAAACTTGGGACCTTGTGCTTATGCCTCTGAGCTGTTTCCCCAGCCCCTACCATGGCATTTATAAATGGGGCCAAGAACATTTACCTTTGGGATTTCTCTTGTTAATTTTAACAGAAGTTCTTCACTATGATAATATTTAATATTTTTGTTCAATTTAAAAGGCATCTACCTTATGCTTACAGCTCTCCTAACCTAATAATGGCTACAAGAAATATCTTGGATTTTACCTTATAGATAACTTCTGGCAAGAATGAGCAGACCATGCTACTATTGTATAGTTGTGGAAATTCCATATATATCTTCTTGAGAGCATCAGTTGCCTGTAGAACAAATTCATATTATTTAAAATCTACTATCCAGGAACTACTGTATGTTAAGCACAACTACACCAAATAAGTCAGAAGTTTACTAATACTGCCTATGGAGATGCTCAAAGTGTTGATGAATCCACTGGCCACATCAGCAAACCAGAAAGCAACCATGGTGTGGCTGCTTCAGCATCTTTCTGAGAGGCTCACCCCTGGGGTCTTACTTTTGAAAGGTGGCAGGCTATAGGCCAGAGAAGGCAGGAGACAAAATTTTACAATCCATTTCTTATATTTTGAGTTAGCCACTAGACAATCTTTTTATGGCCAGAACCCATCACCCTCTGCCTTTTCTAAATGAAGTCAGAGTCACACAGCCTGGGAACTACCAAGGGAAACTCTGTTCGTACAGGGAACTAAGGGCACCCATCATTCATCACCAACACGGAAAGAGAAGCAATAGGACCGCGCACTAGGAAGAGTGTGAAGTCTCCCAATTCTTCCCAAAAGGAACAGAAGTCTCTTCTTGTAGTTTAGCTAACAAATGAGGAAGAGATGATAGAATGTGAATGCTAACATTATGTAACCACTACTGAATTAACATCAACAGCAGCTGTCATAAGAGATGCCAGAGACTTGTGTATCACAACTCTGGAGCGCTCTCACTTCTGGCAGGCGACATACACCTATAATCAAATATAAGTAACGAAATGTACTTCCTCCAAAATAAGAACATACAAATTAATCGTAACATGCTTTCCCTTCATTAATGTAAGTGAGTGAGGGATAGGATCAAAGTTGTTGATGTCTGAACTAATACATGTACTATACATAACTCCTCTATATGGTAGTTTCTTTCATTTGTCCCATTGTGACCGTGAGAAGAATGGAGCACATCAAGGTTGAGATTACTGTGTAGAAGTACAGAACTCAAAGCCTAAAGGTCATGATCCTAGATATTGGGCTCTACTAGCTCAATCTTTTTCCTTCCTTTCTTCCTTCCTTCCGCTCCCTCCTTCCTTTCTTCCTTTCTTTGATACATGGTCTTGCTAAGCAGTTCAGACTCACAGTCATCCTCCTGTCTCAGCCTCCCCAGTGCTGGAATTACAGGCATGCAACATCATGCTCGGTTTTGGGGCCAGCACAGCATGTAGTACCAGGAATCGAACTCGGGTCCTTTTGCTTGCCAGGCAGTTCTTAGACCACTGTCTACTAGCTCAATCTTTTGCCTATGCTTGCCCTTAATTTCTCAGTTAGATTGCTATGTTCTGACTAATCTTGGTTAAACACCTGGTTAATGTCCATTCAGAAAACTCAAATACATTCATGTTTTCTTCTTATACTACATCCCTCATCGTAATTCTATAGTAAGAGAGAAGCATGACAACATAAGAGCTACAGAGGTTCCCAAACATGGCCAACAGCAGCAGCAAAGCTGGATGTGCATTAAAAACACATGCTGCTTGAACTGCAGCCCAGCAGCACAGTGTGTATGTATGGCCTAGGAGCCCTTATTTTAAAATGCATTTCCAGGCGATTCTGATGGAATTAACTGGAAAACCTAAAAACATTACTTTTTTATTGAGAAATAAATTTGAATGAGACAGTTTCCCAGCTGATTAATAGGAGAGTTTTGATAGTCAATACACTGCACATTGTTATCTTCTTAGTGGTTATCCATAGTACAAGAAGCAGATAGGATATTCTGTCCAGACACTGTTAGTACACCTCTTTCTTCTCATTGAATTAAGTGAAAGTAGCTGTAAATTTATCCTATTTTGTATATATAAATATAAAATGATCTTTCCTTTGTATCCTTTTTTTGTCCTGTCAGAGGTGAATATTCTATTGGCATCTAAATACCATAAGTGTTTGAATTGAACTAAACAATCTAACACTGTCTAGCAGTCTATAATATTAGTGGGTTATCCTCAGAAGTTATTGACTTAAGCCTTTTACAGCTCATCATATTAATATGGATTTACTTTATTTTTTTTAAATTTTATTTATTTATTTGTGTGTGTGTGTGTGTCCAGCTCAGCCCACCAGGGGGCGGGGCTGGCTGGCATGTGGTGCTAGGGGATTGAACCACAGTCCCTGTGCTTTGCTAAGCTTGTTCTAAGTAGGTGCTTTAGACCACTGAGCCATCTCACCAGCCCTGGATTTACTTTATATACCTCATTTTTATACTTTTCTGCTGGATGGTTAAGACCAAGATATAGCGAGATATATAGATAGCGAGATATATAGCGAGATACTTTATACTTTTCTGCTGGATGGTTAAGACCAAGATATAGCGAGACCTATATAACAAGAAATGTAACTTTTATATCTGATAAGGTCAGCCAAGTACTCTCAGGATTTATCCTGTAGCCCTGTACCGCCCTTTGTACATCCTTTTGTCAGTGTCTGATATGAGGATGAGTCACGGCCATTGCTTGGCCAATTTGTTCTCTGTGAAAGCTTGAGAAAACACATACTATTATCAGTTTATCAGAATAAGTCAGTTACCATTCTCCTCTTTCTTCAAAAATGGGAATTTACCCTAATAAAATCTGAGTATATACTTATGGTTATATTTTAGCTCTTAGCAATTGGTTTAAACTGGTTCCTGGGATTAATAAAAAGTTAACACACACACACACACACACACACACACACACACTCGTTAACACAATCGGAACTCTCCACCTGTAAATGACTATTACTAATATTTAAACATTGCTAAAAGAAAAATACACAAGTTGCTCAAATGAAAGAAAAATTATTTGTACTTGAAAAAGTAGCTATAAAAGAAGAATATAGCCAGATGTGGTGGCTCATGCCTGAAATCACACTCAGGAGACAGGCAGAAGGACTGCCTCAAGTTTGAGGACAGCCTGAACTATGTAGCGTGCTCAAGGCTACCTTGAACTATATAGTACGACTCTGTTTCAAAAAACAAAAAGAACAAACATGATTAGAACTGTATTTTCCCATTGTCATTTTAATATATTTCTACATTCTTTGTAGAAATGTACATTCTCAAATTTAAGCAAAATTTCATTCAGAAATATCATTTATATTTGAAAATAATTGGTAATTTTTTATAAAAATAATGCCACTCAAATCCCTGAATAACAAAACTGTACCTAACAAACAGAAATCATATAGAGGGGCACATTTATTTTAAAAAAAATACACACACACACACATGCTATTAACTACTAGAAGTTTTATATACGAAGTTTTCTTTAAATGCAGTACACTTAACTCTTCAGCCAGACTGAGCTGATTTAATTACAAATGTACAACTAGTATATAACTGCTTTGGCAGTTACTATATCCCAGAAGTGCCCCTTTATACTGTTTACCTAATAATTTTTTAAAATTGCTTTATGTAAATAAATGAAACTTGACTCTTTCATTTTTGTGGAATATCAGAAATTAAAATGTTCTATAGAAAAATAAAACAGAATAAAATAAAATTATGTACTGTTTCCTTCAAGATGTGTATTTATGTATTATATACTTTTATTAAATATCTATAATCTGTAAGACTAAAAAGTAAATATCCTTTTGGAAATGATTAACAATTAAATAAGATGACCTTTAACAAAGTAAAGTCCACAGAATAAACTATACCATATTTGCATGGCCTTTGACATCAAAAAAGATGGTGAGGTTATAGTTTAAGCACTCTGCAACGGCTTCCCTTAGGGTGGGGATCTTCTCATCGGGGAAATCATTCCTAGGAGCGAGAAGGAATGGAACATTATAGGAGACAGAAAAGCTCAGTGGCATACACTCTGCAAATGCTTCCCAAGCAAGTAAGACTCCCACCCCAACTTCCTTTCTCCAACACGACCAAGTCCAGTGATAATACTGTGGGTATTTGAGCCACATTACATTATATTCTTCATCAATGAACAGCAACAACAAAATCATTTAGGAACTCACTGAACTGATATCTTAAAAATCTTGGGCTAGGTGTAGCGGCACATGCCTATAATCACAGCACTCAGGAAACTGACACAGGAGGGTTGCCACAAGTTTGGGGCCAGCCTGGATTACACAGCAAGACCCTGCCTCAAAAAACCCCCCAAAAACAAAAAACAAAAAAAAAAACCAAACCTTGAACCCTCTATCTTATTATTGTAGCTGCCATGTCACAATAATATTAAAATGAGCTTTCTCCCTACACAGCAGAGCATACTGGAATACTGGATGATGGTGACAGATAATCTAGTAGCCTGCACTCATCCTTTATCAATATTCTCTCCAGCCTGAAAAATGATTGTCTGATTTCTTTCACAACCTACCAAGCTATGAGCCATCTTTTCTGGGGCGGTGGCGGGTACTAGAGACTGAACCCAGGGCCTTGATACTGAGTGTCCTGGTTGCTTTTCTCTTGTTGCTAGAACAAAATACCTGACACCCAGAATTAAGGAAGGAAAGGTTTAGTTAGCTCAGTTTGTGGAGGTTTCAATCCATAATCAGAAGGGTCCAAGGCAGGGTGGTATGGCAGAGGGGCAATAGTACAAGGTGGCAGAAGACAAGAGCAAAAGGGGGAGAGCAGCAGAGAGAAGCCTCTTTCTCTCCCTTACATGGCATGCAGGCTACCAGCCCACGGTGGGTGGCTATAGCACTTACATCCATAACCCCAGCATTGGATCATGGGTCAATCAAAACCTCTAGAAGCCCACCTCATGACTTCATGAGCTTCTGGGAGGACCTCTAGACACAAACTGTAACACTAAGTAATGTCCCCAGTAATCACTGTCCCCAGTTCTTTTATGTTTTATTTTTAGACAAAGTCTTACTAAATTACCCAGGCTGGGCTTGAACTTGTAGTCCTCTTGTCTCAGCCTTCCAGAGGCACAAGTGCGAATCTCCTTTTAAAGAAGACGATTAACTTCATCACTGGGTCAAATACTCAATATTTAAAGAGTATTTAAATCATGCCCAGAATATGAGTATTACACATAAAACACTGGGCACACATTTTTCACTATTACAAAGATAACAGCCAGGCACAGTGACACATACCTAAAATCCCAGCATTTAGGAGGCCAAGGCAGGAGGATCATCAACTCAAGCTCAACCTGGGCTACATGGCAAGTTTGTGGGCCAGCCTGAACTACATAGTAAAATCATGTCTTAAGAAACCCAAAACAGTAAGCAAACAAACAAAACCCAATCCAAAGGAGAAAAAGGAGCAGGATTTAAATAACCACAATCCAAAGTATATTATCCAATACCAATTCCAAGAGTGTGTACAAACTGCTATTGGGGAAAAGTGTGGATTCTGTGGTCATCCAAGTTTGAGAAATGCTAATTTTTTTTTTTTTTTTTTTTTTTTGCGGAACCAGGGATTGAACTCAGGCCCTTGCACTTGCCAGGGAAGTGCTTATTCTATTGAGCCATCTTCCCGGCCCTCTGAGAAATGCTAATTTAAAGGGGAGGATTGATATGGATTCTTTTATCTCCAAGAGGGGTATCTAGAGCATAGTAACTGAGTCATTAGACCACAGCACTCTTTTCTTTTGAATTTATAGAACTAGTTCATCCATCCATCCATCCATCCATCCATCCATCCATCCATCCTTTGGGAATTATCAGTTTAAACTATACCAGAAGGTAATTAAATCAGAAATCTGAAAGAATTTTCAGCCTTGCAGTACTGAGAAACAGAAAAGACAGCCAGAAACAACACAGTACAGTGGATGCTTCTTTGGAGTGGAAATTGACTATGTGGTTTCTTAAAGAACTAATTATTTGCCCTTGAGTAAGTCACTTAACTCTTCTGGGATAACCTCTAAAAATAGGATTACTCTAGAGCTATATATTATCACCTATGACAGTTGTTTACATTTGCATTTAAATTAAAAATTCAGTTCCACAATTGTACTAGTCACGTCAAGCTATCAACAGCCACATTTGCTAAAAAATAGACCTTTTCCATCATCGTAAAAGTGCTACTAGACAGTGCTGTTCTAGATGATTTCTACAATATTTTCTGCTCCTCAAACTCTTATGATTCCTCAGAAGTTTGTTATAAAAAATCTGAGGATTAGTTAAAAGGCAATGTTACTCCAAAAGATTTTAAAGAACATATCATGTGTTTCTTGGTACACCTGAAGGCAGAAGGCTGACAAGCAATTTCTTTCAGCCTTACAACTGAGTCTACAATTTAAATGTTAGTACAAAATAACCATTACGTTAATGACTAGACACAGTACTATCTTGAGAATAATTATTTGGCCTCAGTGGAAAAGATTAAAAATATACATACAGTATTTCTGTTATCCCTGGCACAGGCTCATTACTTGGAAACTTGTATACAGTTCAAAACAAAGCAACTCTCCTGGAGCAAAAGATGTAATTAGAAGGCGCCAGTGTTGATCTGTGATCTCCAAGAAAGGCTAAAAGATATGTCTAAGTAACAATAAATTACTTACCTGAGTCTGTGATTTGCTGCAGGATTAAGTTTCCTAATTTGTTCAAATGTCAAATCACACAACCGACCAGTCCCGTCTGTCGTCCTGTCTACTGTGTTATCATGCATTAAGACAGGAACACCATCAGAGGTAAACTCGATGTCCAACTCCACACCTGTTGCTCCATTCTTAGCTGCCTTAACAAAAACATCACCAACATTAATGTCAAATGGCCACAGACATCATTTTGCATCTAAACACTCAGGAAGACCAACAGAGCTGGATCAATTAACAGCTACTCTTACTGATTCCCTTTCCAAATGGCAGCCCTGATCCATGTGGATGTTAACCTGGCCTCGAATTCCACACTTACAGTGTCCTATTCTCTACTCTCACGTTAGTAGTTGGGGAAGTCTTTGTAAGTTTTCTCTGGATGCTTTAAACTATCCAGTTTACCAGTGGCTTGACAAATTCTAGTATTTACCTACATTCTCTGTTGGTACTGTAACTCTGATGATTCCCCTGTGCTTGTCCACAAAAAAGCAGGTATCTCACTGCTTTGGTATAAATAAGATGAGTCAGGTTTTTGTTGGTTTAAGTTTATTTTCTATAAAAGAAACACCAAGTCTGCTTCTACAGGAGAAGTTTGTTTATGTCTATTCCACTGGCTGTTGGCCAGGAAACTGGTATACCTGATAAGGTACATTAAAATTTATCCAGAATTTAGGGCTGGGTATGTAGCTCAGTGATAGAGCACTGCCCAGTATGTGCAAGACTCTAGATCTGAAGCTTGCCAGAGAAAAATGAGTGAAAACAACACTGAACTTGAGATGCTAGTGTTTGCTTTCTAGGCTTCCTTATCACAATGAAGATGTGAAATGCTCATTGTAATCAAGATTTCTGATGAAAAATTTTTAAGTCACGGTCCACTGCTACCACACATAGCACAGTTAAAAAGACAACAGGAGGTTGATATAATTAGATTTCTCCTTGTCAGTCTACTCTTTCTTACCCCTCCCTTTGGCAGGACATATACATTTGTTTACTTCCTTTACAGAATACCCTTCTTAAACCACATGTGGTTATAATCCCAGCAGTCTGGAAGGCTGAGGCAAGAGGATCGTGAGTCTGAGCCTAGTCTTTCCAAAAGTAATAACCATCTTAAAATTGGTGGGGTTTATTTGCATGTCATTTCCTTGTGGGTCTTTCTATATTTATATACTGTACATGGAAGTACCCATAAACAATATACAGCACTGTGCAGGAATATAGTAAGCATTCAATAAATTTAGCCATTGCCACTTACTGTGTCCTTTTAAACTCACTTCTAAAAGAAATTTAGTTGGACTGCCAGGAATTTGAAAAAAATAAATAAAAGTAATGTAGTCAAACACAGTCATGTACTTTATGGGTAGATATTTTCCTTTAAATATCTTCTATCCCCATGTTATAAAGATTTACCATTATATTTTCTTCCAAGTATCCAAGTTTGATTTTCACCTGTGACAAAAATACCTCCCCACAAAATAATTTCAATTCTACCATTAACTAGCTACATCATCTAGGCCAAGTTATATATCTGCTCTAGCCATTATTTCATCGTTAAGATAATGACTTCATGGCCCGTGTCTAGTCAAGATATATAACAGTGCACACTGGAGAGGGACATGTATATTACATTGATCTTAAGGGAAAACGTTGCTTTTCTAGGCTAAATATATGGAACCTGTAATCAAAATTATGTAATCATTGTTACAGTATATAGCACTTTATTGCAATATGTATACAACATTAAGGCTT